CCTTATATATGTGGGGAAACACGATATGCAATGTATGTGTCTTTCTAATAGTATGATACAAATAAGGTCATGGTAAAAGCTTAGCAAGACATTTCTGACCCATTAAAGATCATAATGAGCTGACCAGTGAGATGACTAATACATAGTAATAATGAATTTCTGGCGCCAACATTTTGAAAGGTTTTTTTAAAGAAACACATCTATTTCATTCTTCTACCTATTTTTCGCAATTACAAATACGTATATTCAAGAATTGATTCTCTATCAATAAGATCACTAGCACAAAATAACGACATCAATCAACTATATAACATATTTGTACCATGAAAAAAAAACAATGAAAGTCTTTGACCTTAACTTGGCCTTTTCTTGTGGTTCTTAAAATCTTATTTAACAAAAAATATCTATAAATCATCGTATCCTATTACTAGTCTGAGACTGTACCAATATTGCAATCTTCAAAACCACATAAATGGTCATCTTTTCGAACAAGTGACTGATATCTCCTTAAATTTTCTTTTTCTAGATTATTGAAGAAACACCACGTATGAGTGTAAATAACTTCGTACCACTTAATCTTGTCTTTTTGTAGTTCAACCATAACCCGGTTTAACTACAAAATCACAACACCCCAGAGTGTTGACTCAAGTGTTCAATTGCTTCTAATCCTCTCAATTCATCCTCCAATTCACCCAACACAGGTAAATATCTATGTATCAATCTATGAGAAACACCATCATAATTCACATCTCCTTCCAATCTATCAGCCATCGTTGTACAAAAGACTCGAAGTGATTGAAGTGCACCGATATGAGACGAAACAGTTTGGTTAAGGTTTTGAAGTGGATGTGATGGAGGATCTAGTGATGAGGTTGATGGGCGTGTAGAAGGATCGGAGGTTTTTTGATCTTCGTTGATTCCCATCGATCTAGACCGTTTGTGAGATCTAGGATGATCGTACGAATCTTGATATGCGACTGAATCGGTTTGAGAAGCACTTTCACTCGGTGCAAGAGAATTGGATTGTTTTTCAGATGTGATCAGCTCTACTATTTCATCATCTTCCCATGTGGCTTCGATGGGTAGATTGGCATCGATATTAATGAAGTCAAGGGAATTGAGGATTTGAGTATCATTACACAAAGTGGAGTTTGCAGTTGAGATAGTTGTAAACTGGGATAAGCCGGGGTCTCCATTGGCGTCGTTTGATTGGGGTTCATGATCTTGATTCGTGTGATCAGAAGAATCTCTAATCTTGAGGTTCAGCTGTGTGAGACACATCGAGAGATTTGCAATGCTTTGCTCAGTTGTTGGATCACGCGCGTTAATTGCATCGGGTATGTGGTGAGGTCTGCGATACAGATTCAAATCATCAGTCTCTCCACTGTAAAAACAATCACTCACTTGGATCATTAGGCTGGGCACGTACGGTTCCAGAATAGGTACCTCTCTAGATGTCGAGGAGATCACGCCCGTATGCTTGAATGCATTGGCAATGGTTGAGGGACTTACGCAATTCCAAGCGTCTTGTATGATTTTGGTCGCAGAAGACTGGTCGATATGATACAAGTCAGAGAGGCTAAATTCATCAGAAGATAGAGCACGCAAGCAAAGCCTAGGTAGAGAGATATGGGCAAGCAAAAGGCGAGCGGATCGGTTGAGGTTGAAGCTATGATAAGCAGACAAAAGGATACATACCGGATACGATATTCCGATTTGAAGCATCTAGTGATCCCGGCTACGAACGGTTGCGCTGGAGGGTTGAGAGGACTGAAACCAGCGATTGAAGAAGTATTGATGTACTCTATGCGAAGATTATTGAAGGGGGGACAGGGTAGCAGATGAACTTCAGCTGTGTCTACCAAGAGAATCACTTTGCGGTCCCGTTCTCGACACTTTTCATCCAGGTCAGTGAGGTATCTACGGGGGCGTAAACAACAACAAATGATGAGCCAGAGTCAAGTCGTATCAAATCAACATAAGGCTTATAAATAATGATCATCCAAACCAACTTTTCCCAAACCTGAAATGTCATCACTGCCTTTGGGTTGAAGTAATAGTTGAAGCCGCACTCGGTATCATTTTGGTCTAGTGGATAGGCTTGCCGCTGTGGCAGTGTTCCAATGATCGATGGGATATCCTTCCAGCTGCCATCAGCTGAACAAGTAAAGACCAAAGTCAACTTAGGTTGACCGGCCAGAATGTTTTGATCGGTACAAGGCGGACAACTAAATGTCAATGAAAGAGGCGTCAATATTGAGTGTTCTTTTCCGCAAGTTTATATATCAAGTATACAGCTCCTTACGCGTAAGCAAGACCAAATTCATCCATGGCTAGTATATCTGAAATGTCATATTGCTCAGTGATACGAGAAATTCGTTGGATCTCGGAAGCTACATTGGCAGGTATTGATGAGCGAGCCGCAATAGGATACGTAAATCGTTTGGGCCTTGATAAATGAATCATGAGTTTATGTATTGGATGATCAATCAAATAAGAAAATCAAATGTACTTTTCTTGAAAACTTTCAAACCAAGTTGGAGACAATGTGAGCTTCCGCTTTCGACGAATAGTCAAAAGTTCTTCAAACGTTTTCCATTGGTTTCGAAGTTCATCATCACTAATTTGTAAAGTTACACTAGGACCTTTACTCAAACGTTGATAATACCAAAATTCAAGACAATGAGCTACTTGAGGAAATTGAGTAGGTTTTTGTTTTTTAGATTTCGTTGGTTCGAGTAGTGCAAGATTACGATATCTTTCTTCGTCCTTGAGATAACGTGAAATAGTAGATTGAGAAAGTGTAGGGAATCCTAGTTGCTGAAAATGTTTTGCAACATTAACTTGATCTAGCTTTGGGTTCTGCTTGATAAAGTCTATGATCATCAATTTGTCACTGAGCGTGGTGTGAGCTCTTTTCTTGTTGGCTGATACAGTTCGAACTGAATGAGGTGCAGGAGAAAGAGACTGAGGACTGGTTGAATGATTTGAAGTTAATCCATTGGAGTGTGCTAGGAGAGCAAGATTGGTGAGTGGATCAAGTGACATAGTATGTAAATGATGACTCGAAGATGGTAAGGATGAGGATGAATGAAATGGTGAAATGAATGAATGATTTTGAGTAGAAAGTGAGAGTCCATGAGTGAGAAAGGCTTGTACAGTAGAATTTTTTTGGTGGGTTGGTTGGTAAGATAGGAAAGTTGATGATCGAATGGAGTGAATCTCAGATGGAAATCAAATCAAATCAAATCAAAACCAATCCAATTCTCTCACCCTACAAAAACTTCAAAAACTTCAAAAAGGAAGATTTGTACAATTTTCAAACTTCCAAGTCAGCGTTCTTAAAAAAACTTGATCAATCAACACTTCCTTTTCATGGCTCAAACTTTATATCTTGGGATGTCAACCCAGATTTCAAGCGTTCAAATCGTGAAATTTCCAAAAAAATCCACACTCAAGTGACTCTGACGATCAGTAATGGACACTGAAGGATGCTGCTTCATTGAAATCTGAACAGTGAACACGTTGGTGAGTATCCTTACCTTACAGAAAGAATCATGAAGTGGTACATAGAAGTCACAAACAGCGTCTTTGTGAGTTGGACTTGTCATTGAAGTTTTATTGAAAGGAAGAAAACATCCTGAACAGATTTTCTCCGGAGAGACTGTGATATCAGATAAAGATCTCGTATCCTCCCCATCCCATCCCTTCCAATTGGTCTTTCGTTATCAATTTGACTTGAATTGATTCAAGTCACGTCAATCACCATCACCGGGCTGGGATGAGCCGATCACATCCGCTCGGCCAAGTTTCATGTTCTTAAGCCGGTTTTAAAGATGAAAAGAGTTTAGGTTTGATGATGTCATCCATATAAATTTTAAAATATCATGATCACGACAAGTGTTTTGATTTCAATTGATGAACAGAATCAAATTCATAACTATCAACTTCAACTTCATTCATCAAACAAGTACTACCAAATGACTTCTGTTCCGGCTACAAATCCTTTTCTCAGTCACAGAGGAGCTTCTCTTCTTGCTCCAGCAAATCGAATTGCAACTCACATTTCTTCTGCATTCAAAAGTCTTTATTCTGAAGAAAACCCCGATGGTGAGCTTCATTAAAACCTTTTAAGGAGTTTGAGAATTTCACAAGTCTTACCGATCCGAACATTTTCCATCTCAGGGCACATTAGTTTAGGAGTGGCAGAGAATTGGTTGATGCAGGAATGGTTGACCAAAGTTGGTCTTTCCATTCTTCTCAAATAGACGTTATGAAGTTTTGTGGCTAAAATCATCATATCTGATTCTGTTTGTGGTATGTCTTTAGTACTTCAACTCGCAGTTTGAGCTCGTGCCAGAGGATTTACATTATCAATCTGTCTTTGGACCAAATTCATTCAAACTTGTTCTTCAAGACCTTTTAAACAAATACTTTCACCCTTCAATTCCAGTAAAGTGAGTCCACGTGCGTTTTTTTGATTTTTGAAATTCTCGTACTGGACAAGGCGAATCCCATTTCTCGCGTAAATAGTCTGGATAACATTCTAGTCATTCAATCTTCCTACATCGAGGCTAAAATTATTGTTGATAATCTTAGATTGACTTATCATCTTATCCGATCTTTAGATCCGAGCATCTAGTTACTGGCATAGGTGTAACAGCTGTCCTCGAACAACTACTTTATTCATTATGCGACGCAAATGACCGAGTTCTCCTTGCAAAGGTTTGCACGCATGATCTCGTTAAAGACGCACTACATGGCCTGATGAAGAATCCTTGTCATGAAACGTGAAATCCACAGCCATACTACGCCGGATTTGACAAGATAGCCAAACAAAAGCTTGGAATCGTCTTAGTGGGAGTGGATGTTCCCGAGGTAAATCAATCATTTCTTAACATCTCATCAAGCCCTATTAACACATTTCTCGTATTCTTAGGGAATCGATCCAAGCTCAGAAACAGCTCTGGAGTCTTTCGAATCGGCTTATCAAGAAACAGCGCTGGAGTCTTTCGAATTGTCTTATCGAGCCTTGGAGTCTCAAAGTCTGCGGGATAGTGTGAAATGTGTACTACTCTGCAACCCGAGTAATCCATTAGGTGAGCAAATCAAGAATTTCCAGGTTTATATACGTGCCAGTGGTAGCATTACATGCCTCATCGCTACCATTGATTTTTTACTGATCTGTTCTTATGGCATGTAGGCTTTTGTTACTCGAGAAAAGCTTTGATTGAATATTTGAAATTTTGTGAAAGATATAATCTTCACCTGTAAGTGTGGTATGAAACATTTCTGGAGCCATTCCTTGATGAAATACTGCTCTCATCGTACTATCCCCAGTATCTTACAAAGACGAAAACATGAAGTTGATCCCAACTTTTCCTGATCACATTTTCCCAGAATTGTGGACGAAATCTATGCTTTCTCAGTCTTCAATCCTAAAACAAATCTATCACTTGAAGAAACCTTAGAAAATCAAACTCTAACAGAAACAACTCGGGAATTTGTATCGGTTTTGACAATCGATTGTCTAGAAGAAGCGGGCTGTGATCCAGGAAGGTTACATGTTTGTGAGTCCGAAATCCATTTTTCTTTGGGTACCTTGAAACTTGAGCGTGCGAGGATTATGATGTACTCATGTTCAAACTTTATTAGTATACGGTATGAGCAAAGGTAACTCACCATCACTTTGTAGTTCTCTGATACACATGTCACATGATACTTACTGACTCTCATCCCTTTGAATCAAGATTTTGGTTCGTGTGGATTACGGTTAGTGCGACTGGATTTGACGTAGAATGGAAATATTGATCAGATGCCTTCAAATTGCTACACAGAGCCGGACTTTTAATATCTCAACATAACAAGGAGGTTATAAATTCGGTCCAATCAACAGCAAATTTGATGCAAATACCACGTTCTACAGAGGTATTATTGGAAAAACTTTTAGGAAATCCTACAACATTGGATTGGTATCTTAAGGAATACGTAGGTGAAAGTATCAGTAGACTTAATCCATATGGGTATTTATTCACTCGATCAAAACCTGTGTGTTTGAAATTCTTATCCAGAAAACTAAACTACAGGATGCATATGAATACTCTACGAAAAGATTGGATGCACTGAAGATAGAATATCTAAACTCGTGTGCTGGACACTACATCGTTAGTGCAAGTGAAGTAAACATGAAGCTCTTTATTACTTGCTAATTTATGATGATCTCAAAAAGGTCGTTGATCTTCGGAGATGGCTACCTGAGAAGACCCCGAATGGCATAGTTCTTGGAACGCCAATTGAAAGGGAAGAAGCCTTGTTTTTGACACTTTTGAAAGATTTTGGTCTATATCTGGTTAGTGATCAGGCACCCAAAGAAACTCTCTATGTGAGAAGTCATGAACTTCAATACTGAAAAGTTAATTTTTGATTATAGAGTCCTTTGATGATCTTGTATCATCATCCTTTTCCTGGATTCTTTCGATTCACTATCACGACTTCTCGTGATTGTTTGGATGCTGGTTTATGTAGATTAGAAAGATTTTTGAAAGATTCTTCACAAGATTGATTTGATTGGGTCTGATTGGTTTCAAAATTTGTATCGATATGTTAGTATTGGATTACTTGGAAGGTGGATTGATTGGGATCACATTCACTCATACAGAGTTCTCTTGCGTGGATGGTGTTTTTAACCCGTTTGAAGCTCTTGTATGATATTTAGCTAAAATTCTGGATTTAATTCGGGATTTGATTTTTAAGAAAATTGATCATTGAGTGTTGGCCAGACAAATATTTCAAGGCACCGATAATATTTACTGTGTTAACGATCAGAAGTTCAACTTGTCGTACAATTCAGCTATTCATTTTCTTTTATTAATGTGTTCTTTGAATCCGAAAAGTATGACTTGGTCATCCTGTGCTGTTGATCGTTTATCAAAACTTTATCATATCACGTTTGTTCTTTTGTCTTCCTTTTGCTTATCGATTCTCAACTACTACTATAAGCAGGTATGCTCTTCATTTGGTTAATCGCCATTCGTTGTGGCTGTTTACCACAAGAATACTTACGAGATCCTCTTTCAGTTTAACTTGAAGTTGGACTTTGGTCAAGTTCAAGAGCGGTCACAACTGATACGAACCACTGAAGATATCCGAGGAACGTTACAGGCAAACGTAACATCCATCGAAACGACTGCCTCGCCTTTGTATGTAGTAAACTCCAATGGGTTCATGAGTTCTTTGAAAACTTTCAACTCTGAAAGTCGGCGTATGAACACTCAACTTCAAGTGACGCCAGGTCAGCTGACTTGACTGTTGCTCCGAAATTCTCAGGTCATCATCATCGTCACCCTTCCAACGAACCACTCTACATCGTCAATTTTGTGTAGTCCGATAGATAGATACGGGTGACAAATTATTGCAGAGCTGAGATTGGAGGATGCGATTTCGGAGAGTGCAATATTCCTCGATATGATATCGGGAAAGTTTGAAGTTTTGATATTAGTGAAAATGGCTTTCAAATCACATTAAAGCTTGTTGATGGGGTGTTATAACCTTTCATCGATCTCAGCTTAAACAGTCACTGGCGTCACCCTAGAATTCCTCACTTCCTATCAACAAAGATTTTACTCAAACGATGTTTGGTGCTAAAATCCTCAGAAGTATCTTGTAGCTTTATACTAGAATTGTGGAAAAAGCACTTGAATAAATCGATCCCATCTCGGCTGAAGGATGCACCATTTTAGTATTTCTGACACCGAAAATTCGAGTACTACCCTATTGACCGAGAAAATTAGTTGTAGTCTAAAGCTCCAGTGGGTTGATATCAATAACAATCCAACGAAGCCCACCTACGATTTGACGACTAAAAGATTACCCCAAGTCTTCTAAGTTCTGATTGATAGTAAAGCCTCATACTGTGGGCCTACATATAAACAAATTCGATATTTAAATTCTAGACTACATTTATACAAGAAGTGCTTCTTCAAAGTGATCTACGGATTCTTCCCCCTTCTATTAAGCCACTGAAACCTTCTTTGTCGATCATTTCGATATCACCATCATTCCCCGCTGGTCTCAATAAAATCTCCGAAATCTTGATACATAGCATATCTCGTTTACCAAGTTACTTGCATACACTTAATTGAACAAAATGTGGGTGGGACAGACAATTTTTGATCAATTATCTTTCAAAAGATCCCTTTCAACGAATTTTTATTTACATGATTATTTCATTTTTTTTCGCTTTGGATTTTTAGAATATACATTGTGAGTTGAAAGGAAGGTTTTGATTCTGATGAATTCTTTCTTCTTCGCGTCTTTAAACTTTTTTTTTTCTCACTACGAAAAAAAAAATAATGGTGATTTACATTTCGAATCCGACGTGATCTGATCAAAACAAATTGTCTTCTCCGCTTCGCGTCTTTAATCAATATAGATTTTTCAAGTCATATTAATGCTAGAGAAGTAGTGAGATTAGAATTGTGAGTACTTGTTTTCTGCGGTTACATACATATTAGTTGATGTTGTGATCCAAAAGAATCAATGCGTGGATTTGAATCACCTTTACCTCTGCTATATATTGCCCACACATTCTCTACTTCTCGAAAGACAGAGATCTCAGTCCTCAAGTTGAAAATTCCACTTGTGCAATTCTTCACCAGGTACATCACGATCAGAATTCTTTTCGCTACTTTCGGTTTTTATCATATCACCCTTCTAAAAAGAGGTTTATACACAAAAGGCTTCCACCTCGATCTCTTCAATCTCAACCCCGTTACCGTTTAGATGGAACTTTTGAGCGAACAAAATAACTCGATGAGCCACGTCACGTCTTTCACCGTTCATGATAGTGAGGTGAATGATACTCAGGAATCGGATCGAAAAGAACCCGTGTCAGCTCCTACGGATGATGATAAAAGATTACTTAGAAAGATTGACTTGTACCGTATGTGGTTTTTCTAATCTTTTGATGATATCTTCAAATTAACCTTTATATCTTTGGTAAAAATGTTGCTGTTTTTTCGTAGTTTTACCTCAGTTTAGTCTTCACTTTTCTTTCGTGGTGGATTGTCACATCTGATTTTCCTATGATGATGCTGCAGCCTTCATGATCTGTTTACTAACTCCCAAAAGCTTTCCTTTTTACAGAATGATGCTCCTATATCTGATTCAATTGTAAGTAATTTTTATCTCGAACTCTTTAGTTCCAACATCCATTTCTGTGAATGATATCTCGATCTATAATGCTGAAATTTTTAATTCAACTTCAACTCTTCAATAGTGTGGATAAAGCTACATTAAATTCATCTTCGATCTTAGGATTGAACCGATCTTTGAAATTGTCTGCAGAAGAGTATAATTGGCTTGGGACTATCTTTTTTGGTAAGTTTGAGAAATCATTTCCTTAGTCATCTTTAAATAGATTTTTTTTCTCGGAAAAGTTATCGTTCCTTAAATTAACATTCCAATGGTTTAACTTTTTCTTTTTGTAGTTTCTTTTCTAATCTTTCAGTTTCCACAAAACTTGGCTTTAAAGAGATTCCCAACGGGGATTTGGATAGGATTAAATTGTCTGATCTGGTCAATTTCAATAGGTGCACAAGCTGTAAGTAAATAAAATAGGATTCAAATATGAATAAGTCTGAAAGAAATTCTTCATTGAGGAAGTTCATCTAATCATCATCTTTTTTGTTTTGATCATTTTGGAATATAGGCTTGTAAGAATTTTACTCAGATCTTGGTTTGTAGATTCATCTTAGGTGCTTGTGAAGGTTGTGTGACACCTGGGTTTATGCGGATCACCGGATTGTAAGTAAGAATGATGGCAAATTTTATTCTTTGGAGGTTTGTTTTTTTGACTTTTACTAATTCGAAATTATATGATTGGGTGCTTTAGATTTTATACACACAAGGAGCAAAGTACAAGAACCGCTTACTGGTTTTTCATGTCTGTAAGCTTAGATTTATCAGATTTATAAGAAGTTCTATGGTTTGATAAAGTGTTTTTATTGCATAGGGAGTTTCTCAAATCCTGAGTGGTCTAATGAGTTATGGAGTTCTACACATCAAAAGCAAAGTAAGCTCATACAACCTCACATGATTAAAGAAACCAATTTCGAAACTTCATTTTAACTTGAACTTCATTTATGAAACTTTAGTTAACGCTTTGGAAGCTTTACTTTATCATAACCTCATCTCTCACATTCGTCATATCTATCTTAATCATAATCTTTTTTCCTAGTTCACCAAATACTTCTTGGTTTTTGACCAAATCACAAAGAGAAAGAGCTATTAATCGAATCAAATCTAATCAATTAGGAGTGAGTGTTTTCTTTTGTCAATATGCAGTTTTTTTGCTTTATGGAACGAAAAAGTATTTTAAAGCTGATTAATAATTTAAGGTTGAGGAGAAATCGTTTGATTTTGATCAAGTTAAAGAAGCTTTTATAGATATTAAAACATGGATTTGGTTCTTGTTTTGTATCTCGGTTTCGATTCCAAATTCATTGGGAAATCAAGTAGCCATCATTGTAAGTTTTTCAAATTTCTTCAATAAGATATAACTCTTCTATTATTTTTTTCACATTCTTTTAAATTGATCTTATAATTGGATTGATTTGGATAACAGGTAGTCTCTTTTGGTTATACGATTGAACAAACTACTCTTTTGAGTTGTTGTTTTGGTTTAGTTACTATCGTATCTATGTTAAGTGCGGTGAAATTGATTGATAAGACTCAAGGTTCCAGAGGTTTCATAGGAGGTAAGAAAGATGACTTGTTATTGGTTTTATCGAGTTTGCTTTTTTATTTAGATCAATGTTTTTGAATGATGGTTTGTTTTGGTATTTAGCTTGTTGGTATTTACCAAGTATCTTAGGAGCTATTCTAGTGATCACTTTACCATGGAATAATAGGATTGGATTACTCGCTTCGATCTTTTTGGCTAGTTTGTCTTCTACTGTCAGTACTCTTCAAAGAACTGAATTCAACCCCGATCTCTTCATCTCTGATCCTTATCTTTATATCTTTTGTTAGCCTTTTGTGATTAGTCTTGGTTGGATTAACTCGACTACTGCAGGTCACACAAGTTGAGCACATTTCTTTGGTCCTGATGCAAGTTTGCTGTGAAATCTACTGATATATTTTTCTTTTTCTTTTATGGTTTTGTTTAGAAAGATCTGTAGTTCAAGCAATCGTTCTGATTGGTAAGTCATTTTACAAAGTGAACATTGTTTTGTAGGATACTTTGAAAAATATTGACTCGATTTCTTTTTTACTCTAGGTTATTCGATTGGTAATATTCTAGGTAAGATTCATGAAATTTAAATCTTAAATCCCATCAACTTCTTGATCAATTTGAAAAATTCATATCTGATGAGTTTTTTTCCCCTATTACATATTTTGTAGGACCTCAAATGTGGAAAGAAAGTTATAAACCCAAAAATCAAATCCCATGGATCATCATCATCATTTGTTTTGGAATTTGTTTTTTAATCTTAATTGGAATGAGTGAATATCTTAAGTATCAAAACTTGATGAAACTTTCGAAACCTGGTAATGTTGGAGGAGGTTTTAATTCAAAATCAATTGCGAATGATGAAATCATGAAAGATTTAACTGATCTTCAAAATCCTGGTAAGTTTGTAGTTTGTTTACTTGATTTATGATTTTTCTTTTATAAGGTTTATTGATGTTTTCTTTTTCTTTTGGAATGATGTATTGAATAGGATTTCTTTATGTTCATTGAATTGATCGGGTTCTTTTGTTTTCTGTTTCTCTTTTAAATAAATCATCACTTTTTGTTTTCTCTTTATCTTCATTCCGTAAAAAATGAATTGGTATATCTGATTATTGATTTTGTTAGAGTTGTCACAATGTTTTTCTGTTGTTCGAGTTTGGTCATATTTGTTTTGTCCGTTTTTCAAATCAGTGAACCAATTCAACTTGATGGGTCCAATGGAGCTCTTGGTTTTACAAAATGTTGGTGAAATATATGCGAGTCTTAGACATAATTCTTGTGCTGCAGGCTTGCAGCCTGCAATGTGTGTGTGTCATGCGTGTATGTGCATGCAATTCGATGCGATCGGTCCTTAGGTTAAGTGTCCACATGTCTCACTCTCAACTTCAAGCAAGGGATCTTCAAAGTTCATAGCTTACAGTTCGAAAACTCCGCTCTGAATGCTTTCCTTCACAACACCATTCTTGAAGCAATCATCAATCAAAGCACGACTTCAAACTTAACGAATACCAAAAGAAAAATGAAAGAACCAAACGAAAGTATCACAACTCAATCCGAAACTCAACCACCAAACCAATCATTAACCAAAAAAAGATCATTAATTTTAAAATCCCATCAACCCAACTTATCAATTTATCCAATCTGTTTAAGCTCAAACGTTCTTAAAGGTTTCGGTAGAGGATCTAAAGAATTAAATTGTCCAACTGCTAATTTAAATCCAAAAGTTTTAGAAGATCAATCAAAAGAATATCTAAGAAATCAAAATGGTCATCTTTTTTGGTTATTGTAAGGTTTTGGGTTATGATCAAGTTTTTGAAATGGTGATGAGTATTGGATTTAATCCTGTTTATGGTAATGAATTTAAAACGATTGTAAGTTATTGAATCGTTTATAGTATAAATATTTTTTTGAAAAGAACTCATTTGTCCTTTTTTTACTGTTTCTTTTTTCTTTGTTTGTTTGTTTTTGTGGTTTGGTAGGAAGTTCATGTGTTGTTTGAATTCGATCAAGATTTTTATGGTGTTGAGATGAAAGTGATGGTTTTAGGTTATATTAGACCTGAATATAATTATACTACTAAAGGTTAGTTGAAGTTTTTATTTTTCTCTTAAAAGAATCATCTTTAATTGATCATTGCTGTTGGTTTTTTTTTGATGAATTTGATTTTTGATTTAGATGAGTTGATAACTGATATTGAGATTGATAAACAAGTGGCTAAGAACACATTGAAACAAGAAGGGTATTTTAAATTTGTGAATGATAAGTTTTTTGAATGATATGTAGATTGTTTTGATAGATAGTTGTATTTTTTTTGATTTCCTGATTAGGGAATTGAGTTGTAGAGAATGAGAAATGATGAAAATGGAAAATGAAAGAAAGTCTAGAAATCAATTTTAAAGTGTTTTAGTCTAAATTAGTTTTAAATAATCTGTATGAGCTACGTTTTAAGTTTATAAATTGAAAACTCTTCACCACTAAAACAGTCAACTACAATTAATTTTACTTGACTGTCTCCTTCCGATTGGATTTCATTCCTTCACTCTTTCACTTTATCATCAAAAACATCAACAACAACAACATCGAAAACCACATCAGAATGTCATTACTTTCAATCTTATCTTCACCTCAACAACCAACTGCAACTCAAACTCCATCTACTCCATCATCACCATCATCAAATAACAATAACAATAACAACAACAACAATAACAACAATAACAACAATAATAATAATAATAACAACAACAACAATCCAAGCACTCCAACTACTCCTAATATCCTCAACTCCAATACCCAACTCAACTACACCTTCAATTGCAACTGTAACTACTCCTACTCCTGTTCCAACTACT